GTTTGACTGCCATACCTTTGCCCCTTGGAAGATTAAAGCTCCAGCCCCAGCACCCAAAAATACTCAAGATTTTAATCTGTGCTTAAGCACTGGCCTCTCAAGTAGGTTCCTTTTTTCAGTGCTTTCAGCATTCAGGCTGTGTGGTTGAATATGTTTCCTGATTTTTCTCTCCTCCTCTTTTCTCTCTCATCCCCCCAGGCTATTTCCCATGCTTTTCCTCACTCTGTGCCAAGCAGTGGGAAAGCAGCAGCCCTATCTGACTGCCTGTGATCATAGGAACTCTTATCGGCAAGCAAAGTCTCTGTTTGCCATGGAAAAACCTGAAGTCCCCGGGGTTTATGGAGCAGAATAACATATGTTACTGCTTTCATGCCTCACTTGTTAAGTAGTCCTAAACTTTGCCATCCTACTAATGCATGTTTACCTACTTGCTCTTTGCTCCCATGGCTTTTCCAGTGAATGGATGCAAGTTTGCTGTTTCCCTTCTCTATCCATTTAACTTTGCCTGGTAAAGATGGGCTGGAATTGCAGACGATCTCTGAATTTTAAGAGAACTGTGCTTCAAACCTAGATGCAAGGACTGTGAAGCCTCTTGCTAAGTTCTGCCAAGGACTGAACTGTTTTTTTTTGCTTCTGCATCTGTCATTTGTTTAGGTGGTTTTTGCCCTTTAAGGTGGTTGTTGGGCCCAGTTACTGGGATATTATCTTTCTTGGGATCAGATGCTTGTGAATTCAAATGTATCAGTGTTTGATGTGGTCTGAGGCACTGCAGATTCAGCCAGACCTTGGGAGTTATAATGATTTTATGGCTTCGAATTGCCTTGTCTCAGCTGTGGCAGCAGACTAGTAATTGGTTACCACAGATGAAACCATGAAGGATGAAATAATGGGACAGAGGGTCATGGAGAACCTGGAAGGTGGCTGGGTGGTAAGGAGGAAGCTTGTGTTAAATGGAATACAATTACTTGAGAAGATGGAGATGAACCTGAGGACAGAGAACAGGGAAAATATGCAGAGGTAAAAGGGGAGGAGTGATGCCTGTTTGGAAGGACATATATAAAGAGAACAATGGAGTGCCTGGATATATGAGTACATTTTAACTGAGAAGCATCCTTCTGTCTGTCCTTGTGTCTGTCTTTGTTTTCCTCATTCTCATGTGAGATCTGGCATATCTAAGAGGGATTTCTCCTGGACTTGTCCTAGGAGTTGTCGCTGGACTGTTTGCCAATACCAGCAACAGCACAGTGTAAATGCATTGCAAAACATGAGCCTTGCAGAGCGTAGAGGGAGATGATCTCCTCTTAGAAGTCACTGCTTTAAGAGTGAAGCAGCCTCAAATTTGGTGAGTTGTCCTTGGTCTTCCCTCTCCCTGTCAATTCTTTCCTTTGCATCTCCATGCAAGCATCACTTTTTTCCTAGTGCCTCAAGTATGCCTTGTGCTTCATTCCTCAGCAGAGACCCAGCAGCCCTGAAGCTGTGGGGCAGAGCTGCTCAAAGGCTCCCATTTGCTAGGTGAGCCCTGTACGCCCAGAGGGAACAGAAGCCTTGGATCAAATAATGATCTGGGAATTGACAGGATAGTTTCTGCTTTGGACAAGAGCTCACTGTTATTTCTTCCTAAGATTTAATTGCAACCTACCTTCTTTTTGGTCTGAAGCCATTCCCTCTTGTCATCCATGCCCTTGTCAAAAGTCCCTCTCCAGCTCAATAGTAACCCCTTTAGGTACTGGAAGGGGCTACAGGGTCTCCATTTATATCTCCATTTATATCTCCATTTACCTGAGTGGAGATATGCTAGAGAACATCTGTCCTCTCTACTTGACAAGACAAAATTTCAGTCTGAGGTTATTGCCTTTGTAGAATTCTTTGGCCCTTTGCAGACTCTGGAGAAGAAGCTGAGTGGGATTTCTTTGTCTGTTGGGGGCTGGGAGAGGAGGGAAAAGGTCTCTGGAAAGAGAAAAGGGAAAGGATAGGAAAAGAGGGACGGATAGATAACAGCAAAAGCTAGAGCTGAAAGCAGGAGACAAGTTATGTTTTTTGAGTCTCTTGATACAGAGATGTGTTATTGCCATAGTGATACTGCTTGGACAACAGGTCAATGGGAATTCAAGGGATGCCAGGGAGACAGGCATCTTTATTTGCTCTTCTTTGGCCAGCCTGATGTTCTTGGGAGAACCAGAGGCTGGTGGAGGGGGATGTAGACAGCAGGTTGTGTTTGTATCTCCTTCATTTCCCAGCTTCTGCTGCAATGAGGTGTCCCCTTCCCAATAACTCATGGGCTTGGAGAGGTGACTGTATTGGAAAGACTAAGGCAGGAGGTAATGAAATTCTTAATTATAGTGGTGTCATAAGCACTCTAATGCATAGATGAAGCTCTGACATTGCCCAGAGAAATTTTGGATGCCACATCCCTGGAAGTGTTCAAGGCCAGAGTGGATGGGACTCTGAGCAACCTGGTCTAGTGGAATGATTTTTAAGATAATTTCCAACCTAAACAATTCTGTCACTCTGGGATGAAGCTGAAAACACCTTTCCCTTTCTGCTGGGGGTGAGTCCAGGGCAAATTAAGCATTCAGAAGCTCAAGGCCAGATGATGTTTGATACATGAGAGAAACTGGATGCTGCAGGTATCGAGTAGCCTGTGCTATGGGTGAACAGGTGTAACCTGGACAGACTGTGGCTCCTGTGTTCCAAAACCCATGGGAATTGCCACAGAAATCCCAAATAGCAGGTGACTGTGCACTGCATGCAAGGATATTCTGAGGAGGAAATATGAGCTACAAGGAAAGACTAGAAAAGCTGGGATAATTGAGGCCAGAGAAGTTCTAAGAGGAGACATCCATATGTGAGTACATGTAATATCTAACAGAGGAAGAGTTTAAGCTGTTCACTATATGCACAGCAAACAAGGCATGAAGTAATGCCCCTAACTGTAATACAGGAGACGTGACACTGGGAAGAAACCTGCCAACTTTTCATTGTGAAGTGATTTAGGACTTGTTCAGCCTGTCTTGAGAGATGGTGGGATTTCCATCACTGACAATTTCATGAGAGGTAAACTAACACCTAGGTTTAACACCTGGCATGCTGCTGTAGCCAGACAGATGATGCGGACAGTGTTTCAGGATCTCCATAATCTGTTTTCCTGTCAAATCCTGTGTGCTCATAGACAAATATGGATGTGTGAGCCATGTGTACCCACACCTGGGAATGTGAGTAATGAACCTCCTTGCCCTTTGACAGCAAAACTAATGGGTTTGGTCCAGTGACCTGAATTCCTGTTGCAGAAGGGGAAGGGCTGAGCAAGAATGAATGCTGTGCTTTGGTGATACAGGTACTCATGTTTTGGGGATCCTTTTAGGAGGTAACAAATATTGCAGTCCCATGGCATGTGACAACCTTCTGGTAAGAGCTCTGAAGGCTTAAATATATTCAGAAGCTGTGGCTGTTGTTACTTGGTAATTGCTGGATTTATGCCAGGTGTACTTTAGGCCAGCTGATGAAACCACCTGGATCAGCTGTCATCTGCACTACATCCCCCCAGCTGTGCTCTGGGAATTCTAGAGCAGGATCACCATCTTGCCACATGAGATTGGCATCAATTTTTTACTAAGGGTGACTTGCTGGTGCCAGGATCTGGTACTGCTGAGCTTCTAGGGATGGCTTAAACCCACTAGATTTAAGCTTCCAAGTGTGTGATTCCCTATGACTGTCCTGGATGGACAGACACATCTGTCTCAGGAAGGCATTCAGGGCATGACATTCTTAGTGCTGCATAATAAGTGCTGGTCCAAACTGAACCAACTTTTTATTTCCTTTCCATCCTCTTTCCTTGCACTCCAGCTGCCAACAGGCTGGGCATTTGGAAAGGGTATGAGGGGAGTGTCTTTTCTATTTTAACTTGTGTCTCATGTCTCTGATTTGTTTGTGCTTTCTGCAAACTGGTCTGTTATTTGGATGTGCCAGTCTGCAAGGATTTATGCACTGATTTCTCCAAAGTCCCACTGGGATCTGAGTTACTTCCAAACCCTTCATGCATCTGTTTCATCCATGTGTATAGTGCAGCAAACTGTTTACTCTTCCTCTTAAATTATTGTTATTACATCTGAAAAACCAAGGAAATCTTGTGTCCTAAGCTGGGATTTTGCAGGCAAGCATTCCAGGATTTGAACATGGTTGATGTGGACTCAAGGATGTGATGGCACTTCTAATGTAACAGAAAAACATCTCTGACTAACTTGACCCCAGATAAGAGCTGTATAATGGGGCTTCTTTAAATGCCCACACAAAACTGTTTTCCTAAATCTTTCCTTGAAGTCTCAGTAGTGCCCTGCTGGGTGAACCACTCCTCACCTAGCACTAGTCCCTGTGCTATTTTCTTCACTGTAACTACTCTGGTTGCAATTTACCACCAAGTTTTTTGGTTTTAATTATGATTATGAATAGATCTCCCACATGTACATTTTTGCAGCTGGTCTTTCTACACTTTAAAATCTGTTCCAAGTAACATTGTTTCATCCAGGTAATAATTATTTCTTAAGGGATCAGTCTCTGCAATGCTGCGGTTTTGCCAGGATAAGAGAGCTGTGTACCTGGGGAGGTTTAGTGCCTTTTTTACATGAGCTAGTTAAACTGATAACATGTTTCAAACAGGTCACAGTGATGCTGAATAATTCCCATAGCTAATCCTAGATTTAGGTTCTTATGGCATATTTTGAAATGTGCTTAAGTTAATGAATTCATTTCCCAGAACCTTCCGTATAGCCAAAAGAAGGCAGAGGTAGCATCGAAGGTGATTCAGAGCACCTAAGTTATAACCAGTAGCACCACTGACTGTCACCATCCTTCTCAGCTGGCCATCTCACTTTTGTATTTAAAATTAGGTGGGATGTCCTCAGCACGGCTTCCTGCTGGTCTGAGCATCTGCTTGGGAAAGCTTTCTCTCCTTTATGGGAAGCTTACCCAACAGTCTCTCTGTAAAACCTGTGCTCTTGTTTCAGGAGGAAGATGAGCTAAAGCCACTTAGATGGAGGCCGGTCCCAGCAGCCTCAAGAGGCTGAAGCTTGGGAAGCTGAAGGTGGTCCGTCGGAGCCTGCTGCAGAGGTACGAGCACCAGCCCTTCATCTCCTGCCTGGCTGGTTTCTACAGCTGCCGCTGGAAGCGGTACCAGCGCGAAAAGACCGAGCCTGGGAAATGCTGCTGCAACATGGTAAGTGAGATCAAAGTCAGCAGAGATTTCTGTACTGGGGCAGGGAGGTCTAAGCAGACAAGGGGTTGATGACATGGAATCCCAGCCCAATATAAGTTGGAGTCCACTAGGATCTGTTGGGCTGTTAGGTTTTGCTCTAAATGCTTGATGTATTGCTGCTTCTGTGGCAGGCTCAATTTGCCTGTGCCACCATACAGCTGATGAATGTGGACTTTGCACCAACCTCTCCTGGCCAGTGAAACCTCTCAAAGCTATAGAATCAAATTAAAGAAGTAACATTTAGGTAGGGTGGGCAGTAAGCATTGCAAGGAAGGTTGCTCAATTTGCAATTTCCTCTCATGTGAGGTGGTTAAAATCCTGTTCATTTGGGAAGTAATGAGTTTTCCCTGAGAACAAGTAATGCAGAGTATGCTTTTAAGGACATTTTCCTGGTTACAAGGGAAAGGATGGGAATTCCTCTCCATATTTACTTCAGTTGGAATTCCAACACCAAGCTACATATGTTTAGGGACAGCCTAAAAGAATCTACCCTTTGATTGCTGTGGGCTGGCCATAGCTCTGACTGCTTGTCCTTCCTCTCCCTCTCCAGCGGGAATGCATGTTTTTCCCATTGCTCGTTGCAGCTTTCTGCTTTTCTCTGGTCTTTCTGTACACGTGGGGTGAAGGTAAAAATGACTACAACAGTTTTGACTGGTAAGTAACATCTTTTCCTCTTCTCCAACCCCTTTGGCATGTCACTAGGATGACTGGGAAGGGATGAGCACCATCCAGAGCAGCTGTGGTGCAACAGGGCACTTTAGTAATGAAGCAAAGATTTGCACCTTAAACTCTTGGTTACAGCATCCAAATTGAATGTCCAGTGACTCTGGAGGTGCTGAGATTTGGTCTTTGCTTGGTACAATATTTGGGTGTAAATGTGAATTTAGGAGAAAGGGGAGAATTATCATCACAAACATTGTGAATGCAAGGGACTAAATAACTCTTTCCTTCTCTGAGTCTTTCTTTTCTTCCTTCCTTTTCTCCCCAATTCTATGTGAAGAAATGTAGTGGCTGGAATCAGAGGCATTGCATCAGCTATCTCACTGAAAGAGAATTCTATGTTCCCAAATTCAAAAGTAAGAAATAATCATCAGGGATGTATGCACATCTTTTCCTTCTGTTTCCTTCTGTACTACGTAGATTTATGCAAATATGGCCCCTAAAATTAAATTAAAGCTTCTCAAATATTATGGGAAGGAAAGGTATAATAATGTGTTTTAGTCTGATGGTTAATACAATCAGAGATTTGGGGAAGGAGGTTCTTAATCACTTTTGCATGTTACAGTGTAGGCTGCTCCTCCACCTTTCTTTGTTTTATTGCCTAGGAAATTTCAGAATTTCAAGGAACAGGTCTTTTGGTCCTCTGTAGTCCAGGTGCTAACAAAAAACATTCTTACAGTATTTTATTGGTTTATTTTTAGGTATAACTATGGGAACCTGGGCTTCTGGTTCCTCTGGTCTCTTGTTATCCTGATTGTGGCTGCAGTCTTGTTCGCATACATCTCACTGTTACTGGTGAGTAATGCTCCTTGGAGCTGACCTTGATTTGTAGTCCTGAAAGGTGAACAAAAATGTGGCTTTAATGTGTCAGACCAAAGCTCAGTCTAGTCCCCCATGTGATCCTTGGACAGTGAAAGTCGGGAGATGATCTGGAACACAATGAGTGTTTACAGTACTTTCTCCCCATATCTACCTGCAAATGACCAGTATCAGCTCAGGAGTCTCCAAGCCAGATGCCATTTCTGTGATTTCTCTCAATGATTTCCCTTTGATAAATGCTTGCAATTCCTTCTTGAACCCAAGGAAAACTGACCCAGCAGTGGCTGGATTTAGATTTGGGGGAACTAAAAATTGTTTTGGCAGCAGGGAAATACGGGGCTCTGAGTCATGTAGCAGTGGTAAAACGTCATCACAGCTGAGTTATTCTTCTAATGCTGGATAAAAAGTTCTACTAGAGGAAGGAGAACAGAACTTTTCCACTCGACTGACTCTGATTTGCTGGAGGATTTTCTCCAGATAGAAGCTATAATTGTGGTCACTTTTTGCTGAAAGAGGTTCCTGGAATCTTCACTTTTCCAAATCCTGTGAAATTTTCTGATATAATGTCTGCTTTAGTTAGGAAAACCTACCAACCCCAAAATTTTCCTAAAATTTCTATTTATTCATCCTTTTCCTCTGTTATTTCCCTCATAAGAAAGCTCTCAAATAAACACAGATTTGCACCTGTTTTTCCACCTTCATCCAGAGCTATAGGCCAAGAATTCACTTTGATTCCAGGCACTGGGGCTCACATCAGTCCCATGCCTGCTCTGACTTTCATTTGGAAATGCCAGGTGCTGAAGGTGAGTTTGTGGCTTTTTCTCACCTCTGTGACCAAGACAACCAGCTTTTATCATCCATTCCTGCTGTTCTTACCCATTCCCTGATGTGGCATCATACAGTCATTCTGTAAATTGCTCATGAAAGGGAACCACAGGCTTTGTCTGTGTGGTACCTAACATAATTGGTTTCTGGGGCCCTTTTTTCCTGATGAAGTACAAATAAATAGAACTTTTATTCTAGTGCTAGTGATAAAAACCCCATAGTGATAAATAGGACAGGTGCTTGTTCATGTCCACAACAATCAAGAGCATTGTAAGACATGTGGATTAACTGAGCTCTGAAAGGGACTAACAACAATAATTAATTACAAGGATTTTGTAACACCACGGTGGCTCATGAACTATTATTCAGCAAAGCCTACCTGGCTTTTCCAGGGGCCATAGAGTAGTATGGGTAGTTTGGTGGTTACAATACTTTTGGCAACCCAGAGCTTTGCCAGAGATGCCCATGTGACTGAGATGGCACCTCAGCAGGGTGTGGATCTGGAGTTGACCTCAGGATCAGACTAACGCACCATAGCCCATGCTAGAAACTGGCTTTACAGGATTTCCTGGGCTCAGGGAGCCTGAAGACCCTTGGGGCTGATCTGTCAGCTCGGTCATGCTCTGTCTGGATCCAAATGCCAGCCAGTGTCCAAGCAGTGGACTTTCTTTAAGCATTTTCAGGTTTTTGTCACCATGAATGTGATGTCTGCAAGCTATCAGGGTAGGTGATGGGCAAAGTAAAGCTGGAAAGGAAGATGGAGGATATGAGGTGCAATTGGTTTAGTTCAGTCCTGGTCCTACTCTTTATTACATAGCTACATCATCCTCTTCCTCTCAAGCCTCTCAATTCTGTCTAAGGCTAACAACATTTGCCTTCCTCAGAAGGGTGAGCATGGATAAACCTGAAAGAATGCAAGTAGTCTGGATGGTATCCGACAACATGAGAAACTTCAGAGGTTCCTCTGCTCTGAGAACAGCCCTGCAGGGAAGGTCCATTTGCTTCTTGCTTTTATGAAGCTGTTAAGTGACCCAGCCAAAGAAAATTCTGCACAAGAAAGCACTAACTGGACAAATATGATCTTCATCCACATGCATCATTGCTATTTTTTTCACACAATCAATTTCAATTATTTCAATTGTTCAACTGCTCCCCAAGACAATTTTCTCATCCCTATTAGGGCTAAAAGATTAAACTAATTACAATTAATTATAAACTAATTACTAGGGGTCTAATTACAGAACTGTTTATGCTCAGCAGAGAAGAAAAATATTTTCTTGTTTAGTCTTTCAAACCCCAGCAGATAACATTTGCTCTCTGCAGTTCAACCATGTTTTTTCTAAGGGTTGTGAGGAGGTGACTTATGACTGTACAAAGTGAAGAGGTTCAGATGTGTTGTGGCCTCTTCATTCATAGAGAGGACTCAAATTAGTACATTGACACTGAAATGCAAAGTGTGACCTCAAAAAACTCCATTCCCAAGAGACAGGGGTATCAGACAAGTTCTGAGTTTTTTACCATGAAGTGGATGAATATAAAGACCTGAATCCAGCTGCTGTGAACATCTAAGTGAGCAGATGTTTCAGGGGAGCCAATTGTCTAAGTTCCTGCTTGCATGTCCTTGTAGTGTAGGTTCAGAGCTTGCCTACACCTCACCAGAAATATTGAGATGATTACAAGGTAGTTCCCATGCTGAAGTAGAGTGGAATTGAGCATCTGCTGTCCACCTTTTGCAGAGAAACCTTGTGGTCAATACAGCCATTCAGAAAGAGGGAGACAGAAATTAAATTCTCATTGCAGTGAATTCATTTATCTTGCCACTAGGAAGCATCCCTTAATCACCATTTTGCAGGTAGATGGTGGAGGGGAGACACTTCCACACCTCATTTTAAAGAAGAGAAGAATTCAAGAGTTGGAGGCTGTAAAATTCTGGGAGATGATGGGATTGGCAAAAGGGACCTTGACTCTAACTTTGGGAGTATTAGGCAGAAACATACTGATCACCTAAGCCCTCATGCCTTTGTACTTATATTAGACAATCCCAGAAAGTGTGTGGAAGCAATTTGGAGTAGACAGACCAGTGAGAGGACATGATAAAACAGTATCAGTGGAGATTTAGGTTAAAAATTAGGGGAAAGTTTTTTACCCAGAGGATTTTTGGGCACTGGAACAGGCTTGCGGGAAGTAGTAATGGGATCGAGTCTGTCTGAGTGCCCTGAGTTCAAGAAGTATTTGTACTATGCTCTCAGGAACATGAGTTCCTGACTCATGTTAGTTCATTAGTTGATTCAAGAATCATGGTGTGATTTTGTGCTGGGCCAGAAGATGGACTTTGACAATCCTTGTGGGTCCCTTCTGGCTCAGAATGTTCTAAATCTTTGGCTTTCTTGTATGCAAGGACCAGGTCTTGGTGTAACATCACTTGCAGCAAAGGAGCAGAGTGGTTTTTTGCTCTCATTTTTTCACCCTGGAATAGGTTATTTAAATGGGGCTAATTTAAGATCTTTAGCAGTATTTCAGTTCTCTTTCAACTGCTCTCATGTTACTTATCATGTACTGGGTGCATTTATTCTATTAAAGGAAGCCAACATGTCAAGAAGCACTTGTATTCGCTGTTGAGTTTATCATAGAATTGTAAAATGATTTGTGTTGGAAGGGACCTTCAAGGTTATCTAATTCCCACCTCTCTGTCATGGATAGGAATGTCTACCACTAGACCATGCTGCTCAAAACCTCATCCAACCTGGCCTTGTATCTTGTTTCAAATCAGCCTGTTCCTGGAAAGAGAGTGTGTTTGTAGATGGATAGGAAATAACTTGCAGTTGAGTTTCAGGAGAGAAGACCCTCTTCCCCCAAATCTGTACATCTTGTTTTCATACAATCCCTCTATCCCACAGTCTTGCAGGGATTTGCTTTAGCGGAGCACTGATGTCTACTAACAGATACTTTTCTCTAAGCCCTGATAGTGGTCCCAAAATGATCCTTTACAGTGGTTGGGAAGTTTCCCCAGGCATTTAGACTCCTGAGAATAGAGTACATTTTCACAGCAGCAAAGTATTTCTTCAGGTGAAATTCATCTCCAGACTCACTGGTCACTTAGGTATGGAATTATGTGAAGAAGCTCTGCATGAGAACCGTGGAGTGACTCGCCTTATTCTTGGCTTGTTGGTGTTCAAGGCATCACTGTCCTGGCTGGGGTTTACAGCATGCTTTGTAAAAACCCTCCCAAAGGGCTCCAACTTGCCATCAGGTGGAAGGGACATGCCAGCCATCAAAAACTGGAGTAATTTAATCCCCAAGATGTGCCTGTCTCTTGCATTCCCCATGGTTAATGTGGAAGAATTGCCTTTTTTGCTGTCTACTCTGTACTTTTGTGCTGCTCTGGGGCATTTTTTCTTTCCTGGCTTTTCTCCCATGATTGATATGCCTCTAATCACAATAAATGCAAGGAAAATAGTCAAGGTTAGTGCTGTATTGGTTTATACAGTAATAATTGACCCTGGCCATCATTCCTCTTTTAGAGTCTATCCTCACAAAAAGTCATTGTAAGCAAGTATCCCAAAGTGCCCATTTATCTGTTACCCAGGAAAAGGTCTTTTATCCTGAAGGGGAGTCTTGATGTGTGCTTGGCCATTTCAGAAGCATTTTTACTGTAGCACTAAACTTTTCTCTCCATTTACCTGTCCTGCAAACATTGATATTGTGCAGGAAGACCTAGTGTAAAGTAACTTCCCAATGCAAAAATAATTCCAGAAGTGCCTCTTGGGCACATGTCAGCACCTTCCACCAGGATGCATACAATCTCTTCTTGATTTCCCAGGTCCTCGCGATGTGTTTGCTTGCAGAAGGTCAGCAGCTGTACCTGCACTGGAGTCACAAGGTGGGGAGAGTCAGGGCTTTCTGGTAACTCTAATTTATGCTTTTAATTGAATCTGTGGTGTTTCTTTGCGCAGAAAACCTCTTAGACTATGGGAAAGATGGAAGAGAGGGGAGAGGTTAATCTTACAAGATCGAGATACCCATGAAAATCGTAACTCCACCTGAGCTGATCACTCAAACTCCTTTTGCACTCAGTGGAGGGAAATGAATCGTCTGAGGAAGCAATTCATCCAGCTGGTCATAGGCCTCTAAATTAAGATGAGATGAATCACACTCAAAAAACCCTTTTTTCCCCACTGACTCTAAAAGGTGCCTGCAGTGACTCATTCAGGTGAAGATGTCTATATTTGACTCATCTACATATGGTAACAGGAAGTCAAAAGCAAGGCTTTCATGAGAAGCGCTGCATGACTTTCTGGATCAGACCCCAGCAATAGTGAAAAAGTGTCTGCTCTCTCCACAGGAGAGAAAGATGGCTTTTCCAGGGCATCCTGGTGTTTTATGCCTTTTGGTCTTTGTGTGGTTCCCTTGAAGTGTTCAAGACCAGGCTGGATGGGGCCCTGAGAAATCTGATTGAGTATCCATGGCAGGGGGACTGGAACTAGATAATCTTAAAAGTCCCCTTCAACTCATACTGTTCTGTAGTTCTTAATTCTTTTCTAGGGTTTGGGAAATGCCTTTAGGAGTTTTGAGGACACAGAAACAAATTATCAGGGATTTTTTGCTGTAAAATTATGGGTTAGAATAATCTTCCTTAAGTAATTTTTGAGGCTGTGTGAGGCATTTAAAAGTATTTCTCTGTCCATGCAGTTTAGGGTAGGATGACATGCAATTGCAAAAGCTGCAGGAGGAGGGAATAGCTGAACATACAGATGCTTGATCCTGTGTTTCTTCATTTAAGTAATGGAAACTGTGTGATCTTTACTATTAAAAAATGGGCTCCAGAAGAACCAGAAAGTTGTAGAACAATTTGTAAAAAACCCACCAAACAAAAAAAAATTAAAAATAATAAAAATAAAAAGAGGCATTCTTTGGTGCAAGAAATAAAGTATTGATCTGTAGAAGATGCCCTGAAGAATGGTTAAGGCCTTGGTGCAATTACCTTTAATTGTCAACAGAAAGATGTTTTACCAAGAAAGGTCTGCCATTACCACAGTGCTGGTACCAAACCAAATAAGAAGCTGAAGAATTGACTGAGACACTGCCTCACCTTTTGGGTTAAAACTTGAATTCTCATCTCCTAATTATGGGATAGTTTGTTATCGCTGAAGCCTGTTATAAGGCAGCTCATAGAACAAGGAAGTTGTGTTGTTGTCCCTTTTGGGTGGACTTTGTCACTTTTGAGTTTAGAAGTGATAAATTTCATCTGCAGGTTAGAGATTTAATGTAAATTAATCACCTAGGCTCCATCTATATCAATAGAGAGAGAAGCATATTCCATCATAATGCAAGCAGGAATGGATCACCTCTGAAATTCCTCTTTCTCCACTGATTATAGAGAGAATCCTGAGAGTTGACTTAGTTGAGTACCCAGCTCCCGGGATCAGTCCAGCCATACTGATAGCATTGTGGATTTGGTTTTAGACCTGTTGGGTGTCTCTGAACTGGCACAGTCAATCTCATGCATCTGAAACAATTTTTCTAGCTGCTTAAATTAGCCGTGATTGAGATGAATGGCATACCCTATGCAGAAATGCTGAAGCTGATTTATGTCTTCTTTGTGTCTGCCCAGATTGGTACTTTTCTTGTCCTGGGCTTCTCTATCGCGTCCCTCTTTGCATTATCTATACTCTGGCGAGATCACCGGAAAACTGTCCGCCTGTCGTTCCAGGTAAGAGGGGTAAGGAGGTCTATTTGAAAGAGCAGCTTGTTTATAGACATACTCAGTGACAATTGGCAGAAGGTTTTCTGTATGGTGGATGTTTTTCACGTGGTTTTGTTAGCAAGGTTCGTTCTGAGAAAACTCTTATTATGACTTTACATTTCCTGTTGGGGGAAAGGAAGCCAAGGCCCGAGGTTGAGTTTCAAACTGTGTGATTTAACATGTCTCAGTTTGGAAAGATACAAAGCCCTTTTTGATTTTCCCTCCCCAAAAATAGAAGTCTACTGTTAAATTTCAGCTGTCCAGGACAGGTAAATTGGACACCTTAGGCTGGTAGGTTTGCTGGAGCAAGAACTTTCTCCCTCATCCTTCATGCTAATCTGCTGCTACAGCACAGTTTCTGTCTTTTGTGACTCAGAAGATCTTAGTCTCCTGAGGGCACAAGCGCACTGGGTTTTTGGGGAGCAGGTGGAGAACACTGGTGTCAGGTGGGACAAAATGCTGGTTGCAGGAGGTCAGAGTTCATAGTTGCTGGCCTCCTCAACTCTCACCAGATCTGACGGTGGAGGTAAGAGCTGCCCAGTGCTGTTCAGTGTCTGAGCATCCAGGTCCCCACTTCTATTGGGAAGGAGGAAGCATGTAGCCTTTGACTACACAGCTGCTTTGGGTCCAAACCACTCTACAGTTCTATGATTCTATGCTATTTGGGTCTATTACCTCTCCCCTAAGTGCCTTAGTTCTTGTGAAGGCTGGGAGAGCAATGCAAGTGGACTGGCAGAGGAATTGAAGATGTAGAGTTCGTAGGGTGTGGTTAATTGCACATTCCTGTTCTACAGTTCACTAACCACTGAGTTATGCACTGGCAAAGGTAATGAGAAACCATCAGCTTCTCCTCCCCCTGACAGACACCAGAGGATGTGGATGATGAGCGTGAGACACAAGAGCCTTTGGGTTCCCCAAAGGTGCTGTTTATTTCAGGTGTCCATGCCCTTTGACATGGCCTCCCATTGCTGTCCCAAAGGACATGAATCTCTTGTAGATACTGTGTCATGTCCATTAGCCCAGCAAATCTATCTCAGGTATTCTGGACATCTCAGATGGCACCTCTGCTTGCACAACTGAATCCTGCTGCTGGTCAGGAGATGTTGGTATAGGGTGTCCAGGGCAGACAGTGTCACATACAGCAACATGTCCCAGTGACTGCTGCTTTCTTCAACTCTTCCAGCTTAGAGAATCAAGCATCAGGACTAAGACAGGAAAGGCTTGCATCTGGAAAGTTTTTTTTTTTGTTGTTGTTTTGGTTTGGTTTGGGGGTTTTTTTGGTGTTTTTTGTTTGTTTGTTTGTTTGTTTGTTTTTCCTAGCACATACCTTAATAGCTGTCAGTTCTAGCTGGAATATTTGCCACAGGGCACTGAATACAATGGACTGGCTTCTAGTTCAAATTTGCCTAGTTTTAGGAAAAATGTGTTAGACCAACAACCATTCCAATTTTGTATTTCTGCTTGGTTTCCAGCTCTTTTCATGCATTCATGCTAAGCATAGAAGTGATTCTTGTTTTATGATCTTCTTGTTTAACCCCTAGGATTAATGAAAGCAAATCTATTAACTCTATGTGTCCAGCAATATTACCTAATATATCTGCTTCTATTATACCACAGTAGTTAGCTTCATACCACAGCTAGTAAATACCACATTTTATCTCTCAGGTTTGTTGAGTTTAATGATTTAACTGCAGTGTGGTGTGGTGTGGTGTGGAGATAGCTATTGCCTGGATAGGATTGGAGTTGTTTGTATTGGGTTAAACTGGAAGATGTTCAGAGATTATGGCATATCAGTAGTGGCAATCATGTCCTCATAGAGGAGGGTAGTTGTGTCCCCTTCAGCTGATTTAGGAGAAGGTAAAGAAGTGGGGAGCGCTCCTTAGGCTGGGGCACACTCCTCCCTGGCCTGATCAGGGGCATGTCTCTCCTCTGACTCCTGAGGTGTTTGGTGGATCCAACACAGGTGAGGGAGAGTGGTTAACTGCTGGTATCTGCAGCAGGAGCCCATCCAGGTGTGAGGACTGTCGCTCTGATGGGGATTGTTTCCATCTTTCTCCACAGTTCATCCTTTGACCAAAATACTTTTTTTCTCCTTACCAGGTCACAGCTCCTTATCTCCACATAGGGGCAATTGCCATCATGGTATTTCTTGCCTGGCCTGTGGCTCTTCATGCCATCAGAGCAGATAAGAAAGGTATGGCAGCTCTGGTTCCTCCTTCCTGTATGATAAAAGATATATACAAGCATGGGAAAAGAGGCATGCAGGAGCCCTTTCCTTCCACACCTGTACTCCAGCTGGAGGAGACTTCCCAGTTCTGCATCTCCCAGGGAAATTAGTAGGGCTGGGGCTTGGGCTGTGCACTGCCCTGTTGCTGTCCCAGTGTGTTACTGGTTTGCATGTTACCTTGCACTGTTTTGCCCTATACTGAGGCAGTGATCTATGTTGAGGCAGAGGAGACTAGCAGAAGTACCCATGTTCTGAGTCATGAGTGGAAATTTGTTTTGCCCTCTGCAGGGGAAAGCGGCCAGTGGCTGATTTTTGCTTGCTGTGTACAGAAAGGATCTCTAGTCCAGTCAGACATACTATTTCAGGCTAGCATATATCAAGAGAGGCCAGCTGGGATAGGGAAAATATCTTTTTCCTCAGTTCCTGGTGTTATCTCATGGGAAGTTCCTGCCCACCTCTAGGAAGAATGACCAAATGTGTAAGGATAAAGCCAGATGCCAGGAACAACTGCTGAAAAACCTGATTGGGAGTGTCTAGTTTTCTTTTGTTGTCTCTCCATGTAGCCAAAATTATCTACCTAACACCCATCTTCAGATCGTGGTTTGCAATAAAAATCACAGACAGAATGGACTGATTTTTTTCCCGTCCAAGACTTGTTGAACTGCAGCTGGGGAGGTTGGGGGAGAATACACAGGGACATTATACACCACCTTGCCTGAAATAGTCCTAGCTTAGTACATCATCATCTTAGTGTAAGCCCAAATTCCTTCAGAGCCACTGGCACAGAGGGATGGTGGTACCCATTAAAGAAAGAGGTGTTGTGCATAGGTGCTCATTTCTCAGAAGAACTGTTTTGGCCCCTGAGGAGGACTCCTGGGGCTCTTGGGCAATGTGTCAACAGACTCCAGAGAAGACCACAGATAATGAGTTGGCAAGTCTCTGAGGTGCAATATCCATGCTCTCAGGGTCTGTAGGATTATCTGGGTCACTACCAACCATCTGAACAAACCAGGAAAGTATTCAAAGCAAGGAGATGCAACATAGTTGAAGGAGAGGTAGCTACTCTTCTTCATTGTGAATGAAACTTGAAAATGGTGCTTGTTCTCATCTGAGTAAGAAAAAAATTATCATCCTTCTGTTGAGGATTGTATTTCTACACATGGAGGAGATTTCATTGCATTATATCTAAAGAAAAAAAAGAAATAAGGTCATATCTTGCTCTCAGGCATTGTGAGATGTAATTAAAGCTTAAAACGTGCAGTCCTGACTTAGACAGCCTTCATCCTTGCTTTACCAATTTGTTTTCTTGGGTTGTATTGTTTAGAGAGAAAGTGAAAATTAGGTAGGGGAAGATGGAAAGTAAAAAGGGATGGGACAAAGCCCAAAAGTTACTTAGCTGTATTAAAAGTTAAGTGGCGAGGCAGACTCGTACGTTATGATGTGGATTAACTCTAGCCTTCCTCCTTCAAATTCTTTCAGTTACTCAGGTGATAATTGTTGGTCCATACCTGGCTATCCTTCTCTTTCTTTTCTTGATACCTCTGGGGATGTACTCTCCTTGCATAAGAGAGATGGGAACACTTGGACCAAAGCCAGCCCTCATTGGACATCGTGGAGCACCAATGGTAGGTCTGAAGAAGTTATGTCATTTCTTCATCCTGTGTGTTGCTACTTTCATCATTATATTTTGTTGTTTCTTCTTTTTTTTTTTTTTTTTTTTTTTTTTTTTTTTTTTTTTTTTTTTTTTTTTTTTTTTTTTTTTTTTTTCTTCCCATTAAATCTGTGGATGGTGGGAAACATTTCTGGTCATTGGGACTGCATGCTAAAGGCATCACTGTATGGGTGGGATAACAAGGAAAACAATGTTCCTGAGGGACAAGACCAGGTTGAAGAGGGCCCTGGGCAACCTGGAGTAGTGGAAGGTGTCTCTACCCTGACAGAGGAATTGGAATAGGGTGATCTTCAAGGCTCCTTCCAATTTAAACCATTCTATGAATCTATTAGTCTTCTACACAATGGGTTTGGCTAAAGTGGAAGAAAATATACAGTAGACTATAGGAATATAATGATGCTCCCTTAATAAAAAACAGAGATGTTACAAAGAGGCAGAAAATATTTGCAGAGTCCTCCAGAGTGTGTTTGAAAATTATCTGCTCCTGTGCTTTTTTTTTCCAGCTGGCGCCAGAAAACACTGAGATGTCATTTCTGAAGACAATTGAGCATGGTGGGGATGGGCTTGAAACAGATGTCACCATAAGGTGAGGGCAAAACACCGCATGTCACAGAATATTCGCTGGTTCTTCTAAGAGCTGTCCTTGGAGACATGCAGCTCCAGGCAGTTGGGTTTTACTGATGGATGGGACTGGGTCCCTCAGCTGTCATGTGATGACAGGGGCTGTAGGGCATGGTTGTTCTCAGGCAAGTCAATAAGCTGCAGCTATTGATTTAACAATCGTTATTTCTACAGTGTGTTTTAAATGTTTGGCAGAGTATAAAAACAAGCCTCTCATCTAGCCTGGCTTCCAGGTCACAGTGAGGGTTATATCAGGTCTACAACAGAAAATGAGTTCAGATTTGTGGCAGCATTGCCCTAATTATTAGATCTTTAATTGCCTTTCATTGCCATAAAATGCTAACATTCTGTGCAGGATGAGCTGTTCACAGGCACTGAATGAGAAAAACACTAACATTTGGACATTATAGTAAACTAGACATTTCTGTAAAAGAAAATTTTGTGTTTCTGTCACTATCGATTCAGAATTCAGTCCTCTGAAAACCACAGAAACACTTTGATGTCAGCAAAAAGAGTTTTCAATCATAAGTTACTAACCATTTTTGAGGAAGTCGGCGGGCAAAAAGGTCACCTCCTTCACATTGCCTCTAGGGAAACTGAGATACAAATAAGCATGACTTCTGTGAGATCTAGAAGTATTTAAGCTGGAAATAACTTGGTGTAATGAGCCTCAGCATTCCTCCATATTGCACATTCTGCAAAGAACTTCTGTACTCTGCTGCATTCACAGTGGCCCACATGTTCTTCTGACCTGGCTTGAGTCTGCTCATGCTGTGAACGAACTTGCTCCCCAGGTGACCTGAACTCTTGCTCTCTGGCAGCTATGATGGGGTTCCTTTCCTCATGCATGATGACACCTTGAGAAGGACAACTAACATTGAAGAGGTCTACCCTAATGACACTGCTAAAGCTGCTTCATTTTTCTCCTGGGATGCCCTGCAGAAATTGAATGCTGGAAAGTGGTTCCTTAAGGTAAGGATCATAAAGGGCTAGGAGCATTCAATGTCAGTTGGATTGGACTCTAGGCAACCTGATCCAGTTAGACACATCCCTGTTTATTACAGGGAGCTTGGACTAGATGAGCTTTAAGGGTGTCTTCCAATGCAAACTTGTCTATGATTTCATGACTATCACCAACTGGATGTAAAAGAGACACTAGCTGTCTAGTATTTAACAGCATCAGTGTTAGAAGAGGAACAGCTAGTTGAGTTAAAATTCAAATAAGTCAGAGTAAATCTGTCAATTTGGGTCTCTTTTGTCCAGTTTGCCTTCAGGATAAGGAGACCTATAACAATTGGCTGGTAGGTGTTCTTGTGTCACCTTATCATGGCAAGCAGCATATCTCATGAGCTGGGGGAAGAAGAAAAGAGCTACTTGTGCAATGTGCTGTTTATAATATTCAGAGCTAACAAGGTGGGACAGAGAAGCACAGCAAAGCTAGCTTTGAGCTATGCAATTTAGTTCCCAGAAGCAATGTCCTCACAGCCTGAGTTAGCTTCCTCCACTTCTTATGTAGAAGAAATAAACAAAATAATATATCCCCACCTGTTGAGGGCTGACATAAAACTTTTTCCATCTTAGAGATACAGCTGATTCCCAGGGCAAACTATCTGATTGATTTCTTTTTTTTTTTTTTTTTTTTTTTTTTTTTTTTTTTTTTTTTTTTTTTTTTTTTTTTTTTTTTTTTTTTTTTTTTTTATATCTGTTTGTTTCTAGAACAAACCATTTGTAGGGATGGGCTCCCTGTCAAAGGCAGATCGAAACCAGGCAAAGAATCAGTCCATTTACACGCTAAATAGTTTTTTGCGCCTTGCAGACAGTCACAATAAACTTGTGATATTTGATCTCTACCGCCCTCCAGAGAAACATCCTTACAGGAACTTATGGCTCCGCAAAGTCCTGGATGTCATCCTCAAAGAGTCGAAGATTAAACGCCATCTGGTAGGGTGGCCTCACTCCATATGCCTTTTTCTTGCTCTCCTCATTGGGCTTTGGGGTGGATTAGGCATGATTTCACCTGCATAAAATTGGCCTGTTGCATTTCACTTGATTTAAAAGACATAATTTGGAGTATATTCCTAATATTAGTTCCTCAGAAGGTTCACAATAGTGCAATCCTTCAGCAGCACAGGAAAGAAGGCAGTATATATACCAGCTGATGCCTTAGCCCCTAAACAGCACCCCTTCATAAATGTAACAATTGTCAGTCTACTCCCTGCTACCCATGCTTGTTTTATATGTTGCATAAAAATTCCTGGCTTAAATTAAAATAAATTGTGAGCCTTTATTGCCTTCCTCCCCCTGGCAGTGGATGAATACTAAACTCATGGGAATCAGTTTATGTACCCATTGATGCCTGGGGAATTATCTATATCTGCTGAATATCTTTTCTTCCATGCTGGAAGAATGGTAGAAGAGAATATTTTCAGTTGCCTTTTCCACAAACCAAAGCTGTATTTCATTCATTTTCAACACTGTGTCTTTTGTTGGGCTGTGTGAAACATACTCACTGATTTCCAGTGGATAAGAAAGGAACAGTGGATACTTATTTCTTGATAAAAGTGACTTGCAAGTTCTAACCCTGCATCTGAATATTACTTGATCACTGGGAGAAACATTGGGAGAAAATTTGACAGGCTGGGTTAAGTCCCTCAAGACATTATCTTTACTGGGCTTGTGTAAACAGTGGGGCATATCAGGGGCACAAATTCTTCTGCTGAGAATTTTCTGGTCCCTCTTGCTGCCTGCAGGTCCTGTGGCTGCATAACAGCGTGAGGTCCTTTGTTCAATCTGTTGCACCAGGGTTTCAGCACACGATGGGCAGAAAGGCACCAATAGAAGACCTATTAAAGCACAATATTGTCAAACTCAATCTGGTCTACACTGACATGTCCAGTGAAGATATCCGGTAGGTTTCAGCTCCAAGTTCAATCTTTGGGGTGCATCTGGACTATGTTTGCCTCATGTATGGGGCAATGTCTCCCTCCAGTGACCAGTTCCAGAGACGATATTATTTTGGGAATAGGTTGTTCAGATCAAGCAGTCATCCCTGATGTATTTTAGGGGTGACAGGCTGCAGTTCACTCCTACTGTTGATTAAGAGGTGGTATATGTAATTAAATCTGGCTGTCCTCAATTCGATATTGACCAGGATCTGAGGATCTTCTGGTAAGAACAACACCGCTGTATTCTGATTTCTTGTCTTTTTATTTGTGCCATCCCCTAATCAAGGAGAATGGACAACTATTTAACTTCCCATGGCTCTTCCACAAACACCAGTGAGGGTGCATAGTGCTATGGTGAGAGACCATCACCCTCTGGTGTTTTGTCTGTTACTATCAGTGCTGTGTTACATGTGACATAGAAATGCCATTTCTATGATGAAAGGCTCCACTTTCTTTGCAGGAGTTCTCAGAATGCTACTCTCACATGGCAAAATAACCCAACAAATCACCAAAAAACCCCCAGCATTACCTGCCCAGCTCTCCTTTTGTAAACAGGAATTTTTTGCTTTTTCCAATGCACAAAACCATTGAAGTCTAGTTGAAATGAAAAAGAAATTAAAAACTTTAATCCTTTGGACGAGAGTAATGTTCATGTTTTCTCAATTATAATTGTCACAGGATGTAAAGTCATAGAATCACAGAATGGTTTGGGTTGTAAGGGACTTTCAGCATCATCTAGTTACAACTTTCTGCCATGGGCAGGGAAGCTCCCACTAGACCTGGTTTCTCAGGGCCTTGAACACCTCCTGAGATGGGGAGTCTACAAACTCTCTGGGCAGTCTGTAACAGTGTCTCAACCACCCTCACAGTTAAGAATTTTTTCCTAATGTCTGATCTAAAATTTCCCCCGTTAGTTTAAGGCCATGCCCCCTTGTCCTGTCACTCAATGCCCTTGTAAAATGTCCCTCTCCAGCTCTCATGTAGCCTATCTCAGTACTGGAAGGTGCTCTAAGGTCTTCTCAGAGCTTTCTTCTCTCCAGGCTGAAAGGCCATAAAAAATCATAGGCAGATCCCTTTGGGTAAACCTTGGGTAGTTCCTAGGTAGATTTATAAATGCTGATATTGAGGATACATTACCTTTATACAAGGAATGAACTTCATATTAAGTTTCAATAGCTTATAATAACTTGAGAAATGATGCATTGATGGAGTGACCATAACAAACTTGGGTGGCCAGCTTCAAAGATTAACTCAGCTGGTCTAACCAACTCAGGTGCTCTAACCAACACCAACATTGTGGGTGCAATCCCTACCTGAGCCATTAACTGAAGAGTTGGACTCTGTGGCCCTCTGTGTCCCTTCCAACTCAGGCTATTCTGTGACTCTGTGGTGGTTTGGAACACACTGTGGGAAGATTATAGAATAACATGAATAGTTTAGATTTGAAAGATCTCTAAGACCATCAAGGCCAACCATTATACCAGCACTGCCAAACCCACCACTAAACCACGTCCCCAAGTGCCACATCCACATGTTTTAAGTTCCTCCAGAGATGATGATTTCAGCACTTCCCTGGGCAGCTGATTACAAAGCTTGATAACCCTTGCGATCAAGAATTTTTTTCCTACTATCCAGTCTAAGCCTTCCTTGGTGAAGCTTGGGTCCATTTCTTCTTGTTCTATTGTTTGAAGATCTTCCATGCAGAAAGAATGGCAGCACAGAATATTTCGGTTGCCTTTTAAAGGAAGAGACTGGCTCCCACCTGGGCACAGCCTCCTTTACAAATACATTCCTACATTGATTCATATGGCAGAAGGATTAGAAAGGTTTTGACCTTTTGGGCATTTTATCTGCATTTGTTTCCAGCTGTTCAGCTATTCTGTATTGATGAATTGTTAATGATTAATTATTGGCTGGTTGGCTTTCCTTTATGTTCCTTATCTAGGTCCTAAAGTAAGCACTTCCTACAGAAGATTACAACCATTTCCCATGATCTTCCCGAATCTCCTTGAGTAAGGCCGAAGGAAGTGCTAATCTCCTTGCTCAATGAAGGTTGTTGCCTTTTGGTCTTTTAAAGGAAATATGCTGAGGCAAACATCACCACCAACTTCTATGTGGTCAACGAGCCATGGCTCTATTCCCTGGCATGGTGCTCTGGGGCACACTCTGTGACAACCAATGCTGTCCACTTGCTGAAGGATCTCAACCAGCCACTCTTCCTCATGGTAAGTGGAAGTCTTCTCTGTCTTAAGGGTGGCAAAGAGGGTTAGGATGTTCATGATTACCTTTGGAGACGATGGGCCAGTTCACACATGGATAAAGCATCCTTTAAGGATCCTTTGCATAAGAAGGACCTGAGTTGAAACCTGGCTTACCTGGAAGCTCAAAGCCACTATAGGTATTACCATACTCTTCTCTCTTCTCCTGGCTCAGGATGAAGCACTCTGCTTGTCTGCATTATCACCTTAGGCCTTGAGATAAGGGAAAAGAGGTCATATTGAGACTTGTGCAGGAAGAAAGGAAGGGCCTCTGAGGACAGAAGTTGATGCATGAGGATTTCTCTTTTCCCACAGCGTCCTACTGCCCTTGTCAAACTTAGTCTTGTTCCGCAAGTCCAAGGGAAACAATCACTTTAATAAGCCTTCCTTCTGGGAGGAATTTTCACATAATTTCTCTATTTGTTATTCTGCCTTCTCCTGCAGGACCAAGAAGCATCTGGAGCATTGGTCCCACCAGAGTCTCTCTAAGGGCTTTAAACAGTTGGCTTCAGTCTTGAATTAGATTCTACAATGCTCCCCTCCAGAGAAATGCAGTCTTTCAGTCCATCCTAAGTTTGGGTGGAGGTCTAGTGTAAGAATGAATCTTCAGATGATCTTAGACTTAAAGTGGGAGCCACCCCAGGCACTCTGTTGTGTTTAGTAAAGGACAATTTTGCCAGAGAAAATGAGATGCCACCAGTTGATATTATATTTGGGGTGAAGCTGAGAAGTGCAAGACCTGCCTTACAAACAAGAGGTCTCTGTGGCATTCACTGTGAAATGGTAAAATCTTCTTGGCTACACAACAGACCTGCTTGTATGAAGGAGGATGATTTGGCACTAACACCCAGTGATGAGTGGCCACTTGGAAGTACCACTGAGTGCTTTAAACACCCAAGGGATGTTACTGCAGATGCAAACCAGGCAGCTGAATAGCCATATTCAATCAGGAAGAAAGAGGCTGGGTAAATTTTTTGCAAATCTCATGGTCCTTGGTGGTGGACACAACCTCTGTTGTTTTCTTCCAGACACCACAGCAGTACAACACCATGTGGATCCTGACAGATCTGACTGCTGCATTCCTCATCTCACTCATCTTTGCTCTGCACTGGTAACTACTAAGTTGTTAATGGCCATCCTAACCTGATCTTTTGCTCCAGATGGAGGGAAGGAGGAATGCTTTCAGGTGACCTCAAGGGTTAAAACTGCACCTGAGAACTTTAGGAACTTCCCTCTGGGAAGGGAAGAAAGACCCAAAAGTCCACCAAAAATTTCTCTTTCTCCTGTTTGCTCTCATTTTCCCTTTTCGTTTTGTCAACTCTGCCATTGTCTGCCCTCAGGATTCAGTGGAGAACTGGTGGATTTATAGTAGCAACATAAACCAGCTATCAAAGCTGGTGGGCTGAGAAAGGAACTGATTTTTCTATTATTACTATTTGACAGTGTCTCACTGGACTGATTTGTTAGGACAGCTCTCAATGCTAATATTTGAGCATCCCAAGTCTCTCTGCACATGTCAGAGCCCCTCAGGAAATCCATCCACACAAAAATGTCTGACCATGTCACAGCCACCACATTTTCTTTCGTTCCACTCTGTCAGAGATTATTGGGGAATCCGGGGTTCATGGAACAGGCTCGGTCCAGCAGGTTGTGTTTGGCTGCTGGGTGTTCTGCTCTGCCACAATTGTGTGAGGATATGCCTGTGCTCTCATCCCAGTAGTGCCCAAGGAAAGCAGGATGTGCTGGGCTCAGCTTCAGCTGGCTGTCTGCAGGTGGGTGGGAGGATCAGAGCAGCCAGCCCAGGGAAGTTTTTTTGCAGGGTGCTGGCAGTACAATGATGCTTCTAGTGGCAACAAGCAGAAAGTTTGGGAAGCCCCTGGGTGAGAACTCTGGGCTGCTGTTAACTGTGACTTGCTTTGGCATGGGAAAAGGTTGGAGTGCTAATATTGCTCTGGGATGGTGAAAAAATTAATTAGTAGCAGTTTGACCGTGATGAACTAGCAGCTGTACAGGCATTTTTTGCTGGGCATCCAGGTTTTTCCCAAGGCAAGGTGGTTCTTTCCTTTCCTCCCCCTCTTACCCTGCTCTGCTCTCCTCAAGTCTCGCTTTCCCCTTGTTTTCAAGGCTACAGTTTTCAGGGTGGTACGCAATCACTCCTGTAAAATATCACCACCACCATCAGACCTTACCATGCCCAACTCCAGGATCATGTTCATGTTGTGTTCATTTCCCAAACAATGGCATCCCCAGGGATTGGGACCAAAGGGCTATTAGCAGTGCGTCAGTGCCCTGTGTGGTCTTGTCAGGTTTATGAACACACCAAAATCACAATTTTTTAATTTGCCTGGCTGCTTTAGAACCAGTGTCTGTAAATATTTTGGGGGTTTTGGAGCTTTTAAATATTTCTTAGAAAACAGGGCTTAGTCAGAAAGTTGACTTCAAAATGCTGCTGCACACATGAAGTGTGGGTGCTTAGACATCAGTCATGCACTTGAGTGCTTTCTCAGTAAGAACCTGAGAAAATCCCAAAATATTGCCTTCACAAAGCAGGAAAAAGCTGTCCAAGGCAGCAGGGGGCTGTGAGGAACACCACAGCAAGAAGTGGCCTAACTCAGGTGCTTTGCCCCATGCAGGTGGCGAGAGAAGAATTTCTCCTGCTGTGCCCAGGACAGTAACCCAATGATAGAGAGTGGTGGCACCTATAACAAATTCAAGACAGGTGAGCAAGACAAGGGGAGCAGCTGCATCCTGCTCTGTGGGAGTATCAAGATCCTGATGGGTGGGATGGTGATGGGTGTCCATACTTTAAGTATGGAAGTGTCCATACTTAAGTAAGGAAGGTTATGAGGAAGGATGCAGTCTGGGTTATCTCAGCCCCAGACCCTGTAGCAGCTCAATCCAATTGGCCCTGCTTCAAGCAGAGGCTGCAGCAGACACCTCTAGATGTCCTCTCCAATACTCATTACTATGCAATGCTGTGAAAAGAGACTCTGGAGGCACTGAGAACTCTTGGTTCTGCCAGGTGGGGTGGGATTGGCTGAGAACTCTCCCACGCACCACATTTCTGCACCCACGGAGCTATCAGCTATTATCCAGACAAAATGACCCAACCTGGCCTGCATGCATTTTCGAGCAGGTTCTGTTTGCTCACAGTAGCTGTCAGAACAGATGCAGATGTTTGGTAGCTCACTGTGTGTCTTCTTTTCCAGAGCTCAGTGACATGCCTGCTGTCCTGGCCTGACATGGGCAGAGAGGGGATGTGAACCTGTTGTCTCAGTGAGGCCGGGGAGACCAGCTGGTGGGGGCTCAGATCTACTTGGTGAGGAGGAGCCATTTGCCTTCGTGGCCCTGCTGAAGATTAGCATCAGCCTTCCTCTCCTACAGCTTTTCTCACATTCCCATGCCTGTCAGTGATCCTTGGGGTGCAGGAGAGCGCAGATGGAGTTGCAGCCATGAAGAAACTGTGCATTATGGTGAGATGCACCAAGCACATGGGAGCCACCATTTACCCGAGACCACTGGCATTTCACAGGGCAATCATTCCGTTTCCACACGTGCTGCAAACATCTGAGCATCCTCCAGACCTCCTTGTTCTCAGGTGCCCAGATTTTTTGTATCAGACCAGCCTCTTCACACACTACCTCCCGTCCTCCCCTGTTGCAGGTGTCCTCCATCCCCAAGAGCACACTATCCCCACCACGATGGTCAGGTGCTGCTGGCTGGGTGACAATCGGTACCTTTCCATAACAGAGGCAGGAGCAACTTTGGTTTTCCTTTTCTCCACTCTTGCCCTGCCACAGAGCCTAACAGGACAATCTCCTCCCCTCATCTGTTGGCAAGGGCATGTGGGGGCTGAGGACTTTTTAGTGTCTTGGCCATGTAGCTACTGGGACTATGACCAGTAAGAACCACTTTTCTTCAGAAGGATGGAGCTGTGTATGAATTGGTCCCACCAAGTGTTTGCTTTTCCCTTGGGAAGGTCTCTACACCTGTACTATAGCCTGGGATTTATTCCAATTTTCATTTCTCCCAGTGGCTGCTGGCAGTGGGGAGGGGGCCTATGCTCTGTAATGGAGATGTAAACATCTCTCAGGTTTAAGCCATATCTTTCTACTTGAAGAGATAATATGTTTTTTTGTAAATTGCAAGTGATGTTTTAAATACATTTTATCTCTCCTATCCTGTTTTGTTCTTATTTCAGCAAACTGGGAAGGAAAAAGAATACAGTAGTCTTTGCCTGATCCAGACTATAGATATTTCTTATACATGAGCCTTTTGTTAAATGAAGTGATCACAAGCGAGAGGGCAGCATTAAGTTATAGAGTTATCTGTGTTGAGAAGCACCCAAACCTTTCAAGTTGCAACTCTGGAGTATTCTGAAGGCTAGAAATGTGAAAAATGAAAATGCTTCTTTGGAAAAAGGCTAAAGGGCTGATGAAATGTTGTAGAGCTGCTCCAGGTCTATGAAATATGGGGAGTGGATGGTGTTAAATCCCCCTCCCCCTGCCTTGCATACATAGATGGTTCATAACTTTTCATGAGTACCAGTCACATAGGGAATGTGAGCAGCAAAAATAGGAGGTGGGGAGTGTGTGGGTTATGTGTGGTGGGCACCATGGGCTTCTTAGCCTGTGGCTTGGTGTTCAAGTGAGGGACTTGGCTGTGGCTCCCCAACTGCTGCCTTTAATGTACTTTGGGAAAACCCACCTCCATGCTCTTTCATCCATGTTATCTAGCCACTGCTTGGCCAGTATGCACTCGTAACTCCCCGTACTCACCCTTCTCATCCTCAGAAGTCTTGCCTAGGCAGGGCCTGGCCAGATAGACCTGTGGTTTCCTTTAATGTCTTACACTCTGTCACATCTCAGCTACTATTTTCATTGCTTCTCAGCTAGCAAGGTCTGGCAACCTTGTTAAGCACATGACTGGTTGTTTGACTCCCACACACAGACTTTTCATCCAACACTTCCTACATGCAGTGATTAAGCTCAGAACTGACTGGAAGGTTCAGCCCTTATCAGAGAGGACAAGCAATGGAGACTCCCAGACTTCAGTGTTTTTTTACCCCAAAAGAAAAGACTTCAATTAATTTCCAGTCTGGGTACACTGATGGTTTGTTCTCCCTTGCTGGATGCTCTCATCAGGAGTTGCACAATACAAGGAAAAGTCTTGTTCATAACAAGAACGCGGGGGCCCTGAACCCACCCTTCCCCATGGAGATGTCACCACTACTGCACAGTGCAGAACAGCCTCCCACAAGCCACTTGATGCTTTTTAATTGGAGTATTTCACTTGGACATATGTTTTTTCATATTACATTGCTTGGTGTGTATACAAAGAGGCCAGCAGATGCTAATACATAAGACACACAGGTACACACACACACAGAGTCCCAGTCCTGCCCAAAATTATGGGTGCATGGGATGGAAACGGAGCTGTAAGTGGAGGGATGAGGGTGGTGGCAGGAGAAAGATGACCCACAACAGCTGTAGAAAACACTGCTGTGATGCATCATCTGCTGAGTGTGCAGTGGGTGGCAGGGATGGCTGGAGACTCAGAAAAAGCGGTGATTGTGTGGTGATGATAGGCGTGTGTCTAAGGACAGGTGGGATCCCTGGGACAGCTGGATCATGGCAGCTGGGGAAGGGAGAGAAATGTCAGAGATGGATGATGAGAAGGCAGCTGGGCTCCTAACGTAGCCTTGGTGTAACCATGCTCCCATCCCAGATGGGTAGGGGATGATGGAAGAAGGTGATCTCCTATCAGCCCTGTCTGGCTGGTGGATGTCTCCATGCAGCATCTCATTCGCTTTGATGGACCAACCAAAGTCATAAGTCATTGTTGCATCCCACTTGAATGTCACAGTCCTCAAGATCTGGTAGGCAGCGCTGCCAATTCTGCCTGGCACACCATACCTGAGCTCAGCTGAGCTTAACAGAGCAGCACGTGACACCACACAATATGGACTTCTACAAAAGCAGTCAAACCCAGCCCAGTGCACAGGACCAAGAGAGGCCTCAACATCTACTGAGATCCACTCAGTGCTGGTTACACCAACACCAGATCTTGGTGTACAGTTGTCGCCTCTCTTGATACTCCACACCCAGCCATGTCTTCCTTTGAAGGCTGGATTTTGGAAAGGCATCCCCCCAGGCTTCTTTCCCTGCATCCTTCCAGACACAATATAATTTCAGCCTCCTCTCTGCCAGCAGGTCCCATCTCTGCTCCAAAGTATGCTGGTTCACACTCTGTGGCATTGGGTGGCAGATGAGACAGCCGATCAAAGATGGAGAAAAGACCACCAAAATCAAGGGTCTGCCTTTGCTGTGAGTGGTTCAGGTCCAGCTAGGACTCATGAAGAGCTGCTTTACACAGAAACACACAAACAAATCACAATAAAATCACCAGCTGGTACAAACCTGATGGCCAAGTTAATGTTTGAATTACAGCCCAACACAGGCTCTTCAGTCTTCCAAAAACTTCAGTCTTCCAAGCATGGGGTGTTCAAAACCCCTATAACCATATTGAAGTTTGCAATAAAAGTTAAGGTTAATTTTTCTGAACACAGGGAGCAAAAGGAGATAATTAATTTCCCAAGCTTTGCTTCCAGCTGAACCCTTAGGTTGAGAAAGATATGGCTTACTCAGCCTCTGGCAGTCATAGCTCTTGGGGAATCTCTGGGCAAGGGATTGTTCTGCAGGTCAGCATCCAGATACCAGTACGAAATACAGGATTTTTTTTTCCTTTTTAATATTTTAAAAAATAAATAAAAGAAGAAATGAAACTTTAAAATTTGTTCTTTAAATATTTCCAGCATTGCACAGATAGGACTTTAGTACTCTAGCCTGTTCGATCAGTAGTTTGTTTATTCTGATTCCTAGTTAAAATGTGGTGCTCCCTGCTTACTTTTTCTTTCTGTACATCTTAAGAACACAGTGTATTCTTTTGTAATGACTTAAAAACAAGCCCTGCAGTGTTCACTGGACATCTTTCCAGCATGGGTCAGGGCTCCTTTATTCCTCTTCAAACCTGAAATTCCCAGAACTTCACCAAAATCTGTTAGCATCCTAACAGCTCTCATATTTAAGAAAAAAAAAACAAATGAAAACAAAGCAAGCCACACGCACACACACACTGACACACACACACACAAATCCTCTTCCAAGAGCCTTTGTGACCTCCTGCTGGAGTGTCTTTGCCTTGGTCACTCTCTGAGAGCAGTGGTGTCTCCTGGAAATCTTTGAGGTGTAGGATTGAGTTGGGATGCAGGGTGATGAAGGTGAGTAGAAGGTCATAGATAGTCATCTTCGCTGGAAGGGGAGGTGGGATTGGAGCCCTCAAGGTCAGAGTCCATTGAACTCCCTGATGGTGTTCGGCTCATCTTCCACATCTGGGAGGCAAAGGTTCTTGCCCAGCTGCATGGGTATCCCACAGCCCTCAGCTGGTGAATTAGCCCCATGACCACATGCCAGTGGCTTCTTGCAGTTCACTTGCTACCCTTTGCACTCCTCTGTTTGCTCATGGCTGTTAGCATCTGGCTGATGTATGAGGTCAAAAGATCATCCATCTTGTACCCCTGAGGAGGAGAGGGAAGATGTTACCAGCCTCTAGAGCACAACTTACAGTCTCTGGCTTGTGCCTCCTGAACACACTGGCTAGCAGTTCTTGCATTGCAAATTGTCAGGTACATTTGACTTGTTCCACCATTCTCCTTGAGTGAAGTGTCACCACCACAAGGAACACTGTCCAAACATTATTTGCAACATTGAGATGGAGGAACTCCCTGTCCCAGGATGCTGCTGAGGCTAAGGACAGAGGGAGCTTTGGATAGGACATAAATTTTCAAATGGCCAACAAAATACTAAATGCCTCAGATTTAGTAACAATTAATCCAGATGGGATTTTTATGCTTTGGGTTTAAGACAGTCTAGAAGGAGGTTTATTGCTGTGATTGTTACTAGGGACAAGATGGGTAAATGTTATTTGCTAAAGGGCTCAAGAGTACCCCTTGAGCCCATGTCAACTTTAATGTGTTTTTTAGTCCAGTTACTGGGAGCAGTCCCTCATGCTCCTGACACAGCAACATGCCAAGTACCTTAGGTGTGCTTGTTCGTTGGATTATGGACCAAGTGAGAGCCCTATCCCTGATTCATTGAGCAGAGCCATGGGAAATTCAGAAGGAAAAAAAACTGTATCAGCAGCTCTTCTGAGAGACCACTTTCAGCCCAGAGAATCCCTGAGACACAATTTCCTGCTGAAGTCAGGATTTGATCTAATCTTTAACACTTCTTACCAGGGAGGTCTCACAGAGCAGCTTGCTTCCTCTCACCAAGTTGCCAATGGTTATGTGGAAATACGTGTTGCCACTGCTCCAGTTGGAGATCTTGGTGAAGGGGTGAGTGATGAGAATATCCTGGTGGGAACAAAAAACTGACACTCAACATGCAAGTGAGCCTCAACTTCCAAGGGGCTGTGGACACTTCTCATTGTCCCTGTTCACTTTCTATCACAGCAGGCCAAGGATGTCTACTGTGATGAGACTCATGGTAGTGAGATCAAGACTGCAGATCCTCCAGAGCTTGTGAAGGACTGCTACGCTAGAAAGACCATGCAGGTGGTG